GTGCAATGTATAGGCCAAAATTTGCGGATATGCCTCATATCGATGACTATGGATATTACTCATCAATAAATAATGGTGGTTATATTTAGGCATGGAGTTTTCAAGCAAAGAAGAAGCGATAATGGCTATAAAAATTACAATATTTGTAATTCTGTTCAATCGAGAGTCGACCGCTCCACGACAGAAAAATATGTATGCTACTGTACCCGACGCGAAAACGGATGCAATTGGATGGTTCGCGTATCGAAGAGAAGAGGAAAAACAACAGATGAGAACTAACAGTATACAACGGTCCTCACACATGTTTTGCTGGATGGGTCAACCAAGATCATCCCAACTTGGACTCTGAAGTGATATACCAAGCCATCATGCCCATGGTAAAAGCAAGCTCTCAAATAGTTGTTGTTGTGTTGATTTCAGCTATATAATCGCAGTATGAGTACACTGTCTCCTATAAAAAAGCTTGGTTGGCAAAATAAAATGACATTGTCAAACTTCATGGCGAATGGGATGCATCTTACAATGAACTTCTAGGCTGGTGCGGAGGTTGAATCATGGGATAATTGTGGACTTCGAAACCTCCTATGTATACCATAATGATCGAGTTCTCCGCGATCGATGCCAATTCTACCAGGTTTTTTGGACTTACCCGCAATGCGTTAATGCTGTCAAATACTGTAAGCTTGTGGTCCAGATCGACGAGACTTTATTGTATGGAAAATACAAGCAAGTTTTATTATTGACAGTTGTCCAAGATGGCAATCGCAACATTCTTCCAGTTGCTTTTGCTCTTGTCGAAGGAGAAGATACAAATTATTGGTCTTTTTTCCTCAGAGATTTACGTGCACATGTTATCACGAGGGAAAAAATTTGTGTCATTTCAGATCGCGGAGCTGGGATCAAAGCAGCAATGGATTCTTTGGGTCCAATGTGGCAACCACCCTTTGTCCAACATAGGTATTGTATCCGACACATTGCTGTGAACTACCATGGAAGATACAAGAAGAATGATGAGCGTCAATTACTTGTGCGCATGGGTAAGTGAAACTGATGTAGTTTGTTTTCTTTTCGATCCTTTTGATCATGTTAGTAAGTTATACATTTTTTGATTAGGTTACGAACTACTTCCTCGAATCTTTGAATCAATGCTTCAAGATTTGTGGGCGAAGAACGATGAAGGATACGATTACATACGATAAAGAAATGTGGACGAACGCATATGATGGTGGATATCGATATGGACACATGATGACCAACTTGGCAGAGGCAATCAATTCAACCTTAAAGGGTGCACGTCACTTACCTGTAGCGACTTTGGTAAAGACTACATATTTTCGTTTGGTGGCGCTTTTTGTGAAGCTCGGGGGATAAGCTCAAACCTGGATTTAAGGCGGTCATGTGTATCACCCTAGATTAGTTGCAGATCTACATAAAAAATTGTTGCATCAAATGAGATGTCTGTAACAAGTTTCTCTAGAAGGCATGAATGTTTCGTGTTACAGAGTTACTGCGACCTCTTCAAGGGATTGAAGTTGTGTCGTTAAGAGTAAATCTAAGGGATAGAACGTGCGACTACGGATTTTTTCAAGCTCTGAAATATCCATACTCTCATGTGATAGCAGCTTGCTCGCATACACGTCAAGACTATAACTATTTTGTGGATCATGTATACCTACTATATGAAGCTTTTAAGGTATACGAATTTGAGTTCCCCCATAGGTAATGACAAAGACCCTGCTGAGGTTCAAGATTGGCTTCCGATTGTACCAAATCCGAGTTTATTGAGGGAGCGTGGCCGTCCAAAATCCAATCAAATTCATTGCTATATGGATATTCGAGAAAGATCTAGACAAGACATAAGATGTGGGCATTGTAGAAACCTATGACACACTAGAAAAACATGTCCAATTCTGTTGTCATTAAGTAATAATTGATAAGGAAATAATGTAGTTGTTTATCAATTAATAATTATTGTACTTTAATTTGCATTTACTTAAAGTTAATGTTATTCGATAGCCGCTGATGAAGATTAAAAAAATGATACAATTATACGAGATTGGATGTTGGCGTTATATTAACAAATAAATGATATTAACGATACAATAAGTATTAAATGGTAAATGATAATCAAATTACAATAACTAATATTAAATTGTAATAATCATGCATTAAATAAATCAATAAATAATTACTAATAATTTAAATTAAATTAAAACGTTAAAATGTTACCGTATCATCAAAGTGTCGAGATATATGATTTCCATCCAAGCGAAGTAGGTCGTCTTTATATGCAAAACAATTAATTAAATAAAATATTAAATAAATTAAATACTTAAATAAATTAAATACTTAAATAAATTAAATACAAAATATTAAAAATATAATAAAATATACCTTAGACAGAGATTATAAGAGTATTTGAGAGAAGTTGAGAGAATTTGATGTGATGAAAATGATTGAGGATGGGGTATTTATAGGGAGGATTGGGGTGTGAAACGTCGGGGTAGGTGGATAATTATACCCAAGGCACGCCGCAGGGGGCGCCTTACTGACGCGTGACAGATTCTGGGGTAAGGCGCGCCCCTGCACCGCGCTATGCCCCTGTACACACGTGTATACCATGTCAGCATAAGGCGCGCTGTAGGGGGCGCGTCTTACCCCACGTGACGTCAAATCAGCGTAAAGCGCTTTGCGAGGGTCGCGCCTTTCTACAAAGGATGTTAGATCGAAAAATATAGTCTGAACGGTGCCTGATCGGGAAATATATTGTTCAACGGAGATATCAGGAAAATTGCCTCTTAAATAATCAAGGAGGGTTTCAAAAACAAAATGTGTTTTGTTCGGAAAAAGAATAAAATATAAAATATTGTCCGAAATCAGAATTAGACTCTAATATTCAAAGTCTAACTATAATCCAACCTTGTTTTTCAATTTTACATTACTTTCATTGTTTATGTTAATAAGATAAATACATTAAAAGTAAATAAAAAAATTTGGTTGTCCTCCAATTCTAAGGTTTCACCTTAACTAATCCGGATCAAGGCGCGACGCATACCTAGCTTTGAAGGGTGAATCTCCCAATAGAGATTTTTGCATACACAATGACTCAAACTTGAGACATTGCTTAAACGATATTAAGTTGTTTATCACTTAAAATAACCCTTATCGGTAAAATAACATAAACTTTAATTGTGTATAATTATATACATATATTTATATAAAAATATGGAAAGTTTTAAGTATGAGTATTTAACGAGCGAGTTGATCGCGAGTTGGACATATTTGACTTAACTTGTTAAAAAAATTTGTTGTTCGACTAATTGCTCACTAATTTTGCTCGATTCATGCTCGTTAAAAAAAATTGTTGCTCGTTAAGCTTACCATAATTTTTGGTAGGATAGTTAGGGTTTAATTTTCCGGCGTAATAAATTAATAATTATTAACTAATAATTTAATATTTTCTTATCATTTATTATAAAAATAATATATTAGTAAATTAGTAGTAATTATTAATTAATAATTTAATATCTTTCTTATTATCTATTAATAAATAAGTAATTATTATTTAGATTTCTTTAATGTGATAATTTTTAAGGTAACTGTTAGAAAATTATAAAAACTAATTAATGAACTGTTCGTAAACTTATCAAATCAAACTTAAATTTGAATAAAATTAACTCAAATTAAGTATTAATTAAATTTTAATCGAGTGAAATTCGATTTTTTTCACAGACATACTCAAATAATTTAAATTTAATCAAAATATTTTGAATGTATAAGGCTATGTTTACTTGAGATATATCCATCCAACAAAAGATAATTCACATTAAAAAGTATAATTATACACGCAAACAGATTTTTTTTTGTTAACATGTATACTTTGTTGCCAGTTAAAACCGAAATAGGTGGAAATAATGGAAACTTTGACTAATTTGAAAGTTTTAATTGATTCAAGAGTCATAAGCGGATAAGATTATCTTACTATTCATGTATAAAAAAACAAAGATATTTGTGGAATTAATTTATCGAATAATAATTTATAATTTATTATGATTTTATTTACTAAATTCAAAGATGGGATATAACTCCACCAAAATAATCAAATTAAGATTATTGGTTTAAACATTGCTCGATGAATCATCCATTATCAAATTGCTTTACATAAAAAAAAGATTTGACAAGTTGAAAACAAAAACAGAACTCCAATTATGACTTTTGCTGAAAACATGTAATCAAAATACCTTAGTTGTTCTAGTGGAAGGAGACACTAGGTCTCTTAAACAATGTCAGGGGTTTGAATCTTTATATTTACGAATTGAGCAAATTAGGTTGGGAGGGTCGTCTTTTCTTCTGCAGTACCCGATCTAAATTAGTCGGTCAATGAATTAGATATGAATTATTAATTCAAAAAAAAATACCTCAACTTGTTTGCAATGAGAAAGAAGAAATTCTAAACCCACACTCCTCTTACACTACAATGACTTGGCCCCCTCTAATTGCTAACTTCAATTCCTTGTTTCCAATTACTTGTTATACTTAAAGTTGCATTTTTAGTTATCTCTAAATCTTTTAAAAATAATAATATTTGTATTTTTTTACGCTTTGAAGAAAAGGTGATCTTTTAATTTTCTTTTTATATAAAACCACCAAATTTAGGGTAATTATTTACGCGTGATACTCAACCGTTGTGATGAATAACAAAACCTGTAAAAGCTTACATCAGGTCTAGCGGTCCTGAGCCCGCCATTGAGATGGAAATCGAAGTTTTCAGCATTATTTCGAGTGTTTACAGGTGCACGGTGCACGGTGCACCTTGTCACTTACCATATATCCTCTTTTAAACTAAAACTTATCACCACCATTTATGAATAATGACTAAATATGGAAAAAAGTAGGAGTAATTAATTATTAATACTTTAAAACTTGTCTTCTTTATTCCATAAATAACAATTGAAGTCTGCCAAGCTGTACACAAGAGTCCATTTGAGAAATGGTTTATAAAGAGAAGAGCTATGCCATTATGAATGATTGATGGGAGAAATCTCAACTCAACAACAACAGTATTTACTAAGCTTTGATAATGGCTGCCAGAAGGCTTTCCTCTCTGCTCTATCTTTCTTGTCCTGCTGCAACTTCTTTATCTTCTTTGGGTAATATTGATCTCTCTATCTAGTCCATGATTTAGCTTCTCTGATTAAGCTCTTGTATTATGTTCCTTGGGTTGATCTTCATGTTAGATTCCTGGGGGGGGGGGGGGAACTGAAGAAAACTTGTTTTTCCTTTTCACATGTCACTTTCTCTACGGTATCTTTGCAAAAGCATAGTCTAAGAAAGACATATTTTACAGTTTCTGGTATACCATGTTTTAGATCATACACGAAGAGGTTTAAACTTATGCTTCCGTAGATTTTACTTTTAACAAGTAAAAGATTGAAAGAGAAACAAAATCAATGATGTATTGCAGGAAGATTTTCAAGATGGGGACGAAGGGTTAGTAGCTTTAGTACATCAGCTGCAATTGATGAACCTATCAATCCATCTATTCAAATAGATCATACTCAGCTTCTTATCAATGGACAATTTGTTGATGCTGCTTCAGGTTAGAACTCCGGACTCCCATATATACGTATGATCATTTTGTTACAATTTCATTCAATAAGAAGCAAATATGCAATGGAACTAATCCATGATGATTTTCTGGATTTAGGAAAAAACTTCCCTACATTTGATCCTAGGACAGGAGATGTAATTGCCCGAGTTGCAGAAGGCGATGCCGAGGATATAAATCGAGCAGTGGCTGCAGCTCGCAAAGCATTCGATGAAGGGCCATGGCCTAAGATGACTGCTTATGTAACATATGTTTTCTTTCACATATCCATGCTTGATCTTATTGTGTATTAGAATTTTACCTGATTCCAGTTCTCAATATGCTTAGGAAAGGTCGCGTATAATGTTCCGCTTCGCTGATTTGCTTGAAAAACACACTGAAGAGGTAGCAACACTTGAAACTTGGGACAATGGGAAGCCGTACGAGCAAGCTGCTAAGATTGAGATACCGATGGTTGTTCGAATGTTCCGATATTATGCCGGTAGGAAATCGAAAACAAAGAAATAACTCACACCCTTTTGTTATCTTCCTTTATAATGTCAATACTTGGATTCGAATATTAAAATTGTTAGCCGTGTTCTTCAGGCTGGGCAGACAAGATCCATGGACTCACAGTTCCAGCTGATGGACAGCATCATGTTCAAACGCTCCATGAACCGTATGGTGTAGCTGGTCTGATTATCCCATGGAATTTTCCTCTTTTATTGTATTCATGGAAAGTTGGTCCGGCATTAGCTTGCGGTAACACCGTTGTCCTGAAGACGGCAGAGCAGACACCGTTGTCGGCTCTTTATGTTTCCAAGCTTTTTCATGAGGTATGTCGATACTGTAAATCCATTATGCTCGATTCGTTTTTCGTTATTCATTCATCCCATGACTATGCACATTGAAATATTCTTCTTTACAGCCCAACTAACATCACGATTCATTGATTTTTCGGCATTTTGGAATCATAGACCGACAATGACATCTAATGATTCTTGAATAACATTCTGTCTCTCAGTCTGGACTTCCTCCTGGTGTCCTAAATGTCGTCTCTGGATTTGGTCCTACAGCTGGTGCAGCACTTTCAAGTCACATGGATGTGAACAAGGTATCGTACAAGCTCCGGATAAGTCATTTTTTTCGATCTGTCTCGTGTTTTTTATTACATCAGATCTAAACCTTTTGTGTTTGCAGCTATCATTCACAGGTTCCACTGCTACAGGCAAGGTTGTGCTCGGACTCGCTGCAAACAGCAACCTTAAACCGGTAACATTGGAACTCGGAGGAAAATCTCCTTTCATTGTTTGCGAAGATGCTGACATTGACAAGGCTGTTGAGCTTGCACATTCAGCCCTGTTCTTTAACCAGGTCGGCTCATTCAAATCCTACAATATAAACCAATAGGATATGAATAGTTTTGTATTATTCGAAACACCAGCTTTTTGAATTCAAGTCATACCATCAATTACATCTATCTTCTTCAGGGTCAGTGTTGTTGTGCCGGTTCTCGCACTTTAGTCCATGAAAGTGTGTATGATGAGTTCGTAGAGAAAGCAAAGGCTCGAGCACTGAAACGTGTTGTCGGGGATCCTTTCAAGACTGGGATTGAACAAGGTCCTCAGGTGAGAAACAGAGGCCGTAGAGGCTCTCAGAGATTCTTGGTTCTCCCATTAGCCATTGTTTTCATTGCTTGAACATCGACCTTCTTTATATGTGCCAACTTCATCGTCAAATACATTTGATCACCGAGGAATTCAGGACCCAAAATCAAACAAATGATGTATGAAAAACTGAATATTTTTGTTTGTTTACTTATAATTCAGATTGATAATGAGCAATTCCAGAAGATCCTCAAGTACATAAGATCTGGCATTGAAAGTGGAGCTACACTTGAAACTGGAGGTGAACAACTTGGTTCCAGAGGCTACTATATTCAACCCACTGTTTTCTCCAATGTTCAGGTATCAGTATCAGCACATATATGATTTCTGAAATGATTTTGGTTAAGGTGCGATAGATTTTGTTCCTTTTATAATATGATTCCCATTTGTGCTCCAATCAGGATGACATGTTGATAGCTAAAGAGGAGATATTTGGACCAGTACAATCCATCTCCAAGTTCAAGTAAGTCATCAAAAGAAGTTATTATGTTGTTCGGACGTTCTTGTGTTTCTTAAGTCCTCATTCAATGCTTTGATCTACAATAGGGATCTTACTGAGGCTGTTCAAAAGGCGAATGCGTCTTCGTATGGATTGGCGGCCGGAGTTTTCACTCAAAACCTCGAAACTGCCAACACGTTGACTCGAGCATTGCGAGTCGGGACGGTATGGATAAACTGCTATGACATATTTGATGCTGCAGTCCCTTTTGGTGGGTTCAAGATGAGTGGTCAAGGAAGAGAGAAAGGAATCTATGGTCTTAGCAGTTACTTGCAAATCAAGGCAGTTGTCTCTCCGTTGAAGAACCCAGCATGGTTGTGATTTTTCTTCTTGCTCACGAATTGCCATAAATCTATGTCTACAGTCAATTGTTATTCTGCTTCTTCTTTAATTGAATGATCTAATCCGTTCTTCGAGTTGAAACATGTTACCCGGACTTTATAATATTCTTAAAATAATTATGTTAAAGATATTCGGACGCATGAAAAAACTCAAAATATTCATATTAAATATATATATCCTCGAAATGATGTAGCATAGAAGGTCGAAAATATATCTAGTATATATATGAGAGTTTGAAATTTTAAGAACAATTACCTCTATTCTCACATTCGATCCATCCCTGCTGTTTATAACTGAAGCACAATGGGATTTGGGTTTTCAAGATTCAAACTGAAGACCTTCCCCGACAGGATTTGTAGTAATAAAACATGTTTCGACATCAGCGTTCAAAACATTCTGAGCATAAATACAAATATATGATCCTAATAATCAGAAGTATTAAAAAAATAAATAAACTCATACATTTCATGTAGACACGTACATATAATGTAATTTGAAATGTTTATAAGATAGTTTGATGGGTCTGATGCTTACACTTAACAATATTAATAAATATAAATCTGATCTAATTATAAAATAATAATACTGTAAATTCATTTAAATTGGATTTAAAATAATTTAAATTCAAAGATGACCTAAATTTAAAACGACTAAAATTCAAAATTAAAATTGATATAATCCAAAACCAATTTTACCAACTCAATTGACAGGTCTAGATACAACTATACATGTGATACAAATATATTCAAGTTTTAAAACTTTGTTTTAGAAAATCATGAAATGATAATCCTATACATCTATATTTTATATATTATTTTTAAATTTCTAAATAAAAGTAGTGTCTTCAGTCAATGAGCATTAACTCAATTAAAAGTCATTAAATTACTTAAGAGTATAATATATATTAGTTTAATGATATTTGTATTTGTTTCATTCTTTTAATCTTTAAATAAATCAAGTTAAAAGCCATTGCCTAAAGATTGAACACAAGACTACTATATTTAAATATAAATAATTGATCAATCACTTAAAGATTATCTATAGAGTAAATTTTATAAATATTTTCTTTCATTTATAACATGAATATAATAAAATTATTTGTATATTTAAATTTATAATTTTAGTTATTATATTCATGTTAATAAGAAAATATTTAAGATGAACAATTCGTTCCCATAACCATTTATTTTATAAAATTATTAAATTAAAGTTTTATTTCAAATTAAATTAACTACTATTATTTTTATAATAAAATAATATTTTATAATTGAAAATTTAATGAAAATGGGGAGGGAGTTAACTACTATATTTTATAATTAGAGGGTGGATAAGTGAATTTATATGATAATAATTAATTTGAAATAAAAATCAAATTCTTTAGCCAAAACTCAATCAGATAACTTGTTCAGATCATACAATAGAAATTTTTATTTTACAAGCCACTATAACTTGTTCAGATCGATATGCTTCCCTAAAATCCTTTTTTTTCTCCCGATTTTCAATACTTCATATTGATTAATTAAGATTGATCTCGCCCGTACATCTAATTTTGATTGGTAAGTCTCTCAATAAATATTTTCTGAATATATAATTACTCAAACTCAAAACCTGCTTAAGTGATATCAAGTTGTTTAAGGATAAAAATCTTTTATTGAATTTAATATTATAAGTTAGTTAAATATTTATTTAACTTAAAAAATATCATTTAAAAATTGCATAACTGCATAAATATTAATGTTAGATATTTTTATTTTGGCTTCATGAGAAAATAAACATCCAAATTATATCTAAAATTAACATTATGTGCCTGAATTTTTTTTTCTCAAAATAAGTGTCTCACATTTCCAATGTTACACTTTTAAATGTTTACGTCGTAACAATCGTTAAAAAGTTGTTAAGTGACACGAGTCATGTTTATATTTTTAAAATTTTTATTTTCTTAAAATATTAAGCATATCATTAGTTTTAAAATCCAAAATTTTCTGAAATTACAAAAAAGAAACCTTAAAAAATAAAATCTTTCAACAAAAAAATTAGAGTAAACTGAAAATATAAATTAAACACTTATTTTTAGACAAAAATATAAATTAAACACTTATTTTTATATTAAATCTTTTATTTTAAATTGAAAATAAAAGATTTAATATAAAAATAAGTGTTTAATTTATATTTAATATTTTTGTCTAAAAATATAAATTAAACACTTATTTTAAATATAAAGCCCTTACTTTAAAATTTCTTTAAACATACCAAATTAATTTTAAATATAAATTAAACACTTATTTTTATATTAAATCTTTTATATTAAATTGAAAATATTATTTTAAAATTTTAACTACCAGTACAAATATTTGAAGTCTAGAAAGTACACTGAAGTTGCGACCACAATGTAAATCGAAACTAGAAAGTTCTCGTAAAATTTTAGAGTAAACTACTCGTTTAACACTTAAATTATTACTTTTATTCTATTTGAATACCTAAATTTTATTTTATTTCAAAATCATATCCAACATTTAATTTATGTTTCATTTCGATATCACACTATTAAAAATTTAACGGTGACATTGACGTGTCAATAAAATAATACCAAATCATTATTGGAAAATAAAAAAGTACATCGTCACTAGTTTTGTTAATTTTTAACGGTGACCAGTGAAACACCAAAATGAAATATAAATTAAATGTTATATATAATTTTGAAATAAGGGTCCGTTTGTTTCACTGAAAATATTTTTCAGAAAATGTTTTCCGTAAAATAAATTACATCTTCTGGAAAATGTTTTATGGTGTTTGGAAGATGTTGTGTAAACCATTTTTCACTAGTTGATAATTTTTTTAGAAATTATTTATTGCAAATATAAAATATAATAAATAATATTATTTATTATAAAAAATTAATATCATTTTTTAAAAATATTAGAATAATTTATTTAATACTATTTATGTCAATATTATTATTAAAATATTATTTCTATAATTTTATAAATAAAAATATAACTCTAGTATATTCTATTAAAATAAAATATGATAAATTATATTGAATATCTATAAAAATAAAAATATTATATTATATTTTAAGGAATTTTTATAATATTATTAGACTATTATATTAATATTAAATACATAAATAAAAGTATTCACTATTAATAATTCAATAATATTATTTTCAAGAAATTAATAAATAATATAAATTTTATTAAATATAATAGTATCATATATTATTATAATATAATTGAGTATATTATTGTAAATATATTATTATTATATTATTAAAAATATTAATAAATATATTTTAAATATGTTAATAATTAATATTTTTATGAAAATGATACTAAAATATCATATTAATATTGAATTTATAAAATAATATTATTTTGAGTATTTATGCTTTGAAGTGAAAAGTTTAGAAATTGACTTACGAAAAATTAAACCTTAAGTTATTTTTAGAAAATACAAAGGAAATTCTGTTGATCAGGAAAATGTTTTACATTGATCAATTTGTTTTCCTCCAACCAAATACTGAAAAGTGAGGAAAACGTTTTCCGGAAAATATTTTACATGAAACAAACAGACTCTAAAATAAAATTAGATACCAAAGCGAAATAAAAAAATAATTTAATTACAAAAACGTGTAATTTACCCAAAGTTCTAATAGCAAACGTCTTTTTTATTTTGTAATCTTTAAAAGGCCGACGTGACGCGATGATTTTGCATACACGCGTGATCCACTGGATTAGGACCAACACCAATCGATTGAATTTGGAAATTAAATTGAATCAAAGCGTTTTGATGATTTATAAAATATTAATTTAAAATTATTGTAATTTAAATTAAATTTAATATTTTTATAATAGAAAACAAGTTGTTATGTTTCAAGATATTAAATAACTTATAAACATTATATAGAATTATTCATTATTTTTATTTATTTGAGAAATTAATTTTTCTGAGTAACTAGAAAATAATCAATGACTGAGATGTATAGCTTTACAGCAGCCTGCTTTTGTCTTCATTCTCCAACGATAAACCAGCTTCAATAGGGGTGACTGAAAATAGTGACACCCGAAGGATCTAGACCAAGCCATATGCGCCATAACATCTGTCATCCTATTGTTTCTCGAGGCGTAAAACTACACTGCACCATTCATTCTCTATCGACCAATTGTTTGATATACGGCACCAATGACGAGCCTCCCCTCCCCTCAACCCTGGTTAGGAAATAACATAAGTTGAGTTGAGTCGAATTTTTATCAATTTGGTCCCATTTAAAAATATAATCCTTTCACTTGAAATGCAATCCAACTCAAGGTTATGGTGGGTTCACCCGACATAAAACTTGACCCGTTTTATGAGATAAGGTTAGAATCTTACCCTATCCAAACAAATATATTTATAAAAATTATTAATTTTATTCATTAAAATAATAATTTAATTGAAAAAATATATAATATGAAAAGAAGTATTATTATAATCATTTTTAAATATATAAGGTATAATTGTATTATTTTTTGAGTCGGGACAATATTTTTATTTTAAACTTGAACATGATCCGAACTTATTTTTTTAGAAAAACTTAATTCAATCCGACCTAACCTGATTCTATTTTTTTTTAAAACTCGACTTAATAAGATCAGGTCAGATTCGAATCTTGTGTCTATACCTAACCCGAGTCATATCTGATCGTATCCAAATCATTTTTACTATTTGTTTCAACGATAAAAGAGCAAAAACTAGAATCTCTTGCCAAAATTAATCCTTCAAAAGCACACTCAAAATTCTGCATCAAAAGTCGAACATATTCCGATTGTCTTAGAGAAGCATCCTGTTTGATTAATAACGTAATATACCTCACACGAGGCCATATCATTATTGTGTCGACGAGCATGATCGTTCTTCACTTCAAGCTGGAGGCATTTACTCTACTGCAAAACAGTGGTGGATCTATAAATTTAAGAATAGTGATTTAAAATTTTAATTTTATTTTCTTAAAAATAATGTGTATGGAAAAATTATAATTTTTTTCTTTTTTCTTTAATACATTAAGTTAAATTTAATTATTTTTTTAAAATAATAGGATGCACTTAATCCTTGCAAAATAATCTCATCGGCAACGACATTAGTTTCAAACAAAATTAAAAAAGAAAAGAATTATTAAATAAATTTATTTTTCAAAAAAGACAAAATTAAAAATTATCATAGAAAAATCAAGAACCAATCCAAACTAAACTGAGAATGAATGTTTGGAAAAACTGACTGAATCAAATCAATCTCATCTTTACAATGAATTGAACGATCATTAGACAGGTCTATTCCTATTGAAGATTTTTTTTTTGAAAGATACGTATACACTTCATTGTAATTTTAATTTTGTCAAATCATTAACTAATATCAACAATAATTAACCTTAAAATAAAATAGTATATACGTATACTATATAAAATTAAAATCTAATATCATCTTACATGTGTGAACGCCCATAAGTATGGAGAAAAAAGTGATCGAATTAAATTCTAATTTGAATATAAATATTTTAACAATTTATAGAATATAAATATAAAATTATAATGATTTAAATTGAATATCTTAATTTTTTTAATTAAACTAAAAGTGATTACAAATTAAATTGATCCAAATTATCCCTTCCTATTTAAGAGAGAAATTGACATTTATTTTGTAATTTCAATTTTAGTGAAATCATTAATTAATATCAACAATGATTAACCCCAAAACCTTAGGTACGTATCACGACAAATAATTCCAAGAAAAGCTGTCTACAAAGCACTACTGGATTGTCACGTATCATGTTGTCCTCTTTCCAAAACGACAGACATCTTCAATGACGGACGTGTTGTTCCTTGTTGCATATTTCATCAATAAGCAAGTTCAATGTCTTCCAAGAAGAACCGCTATTTTCCTCCATAGCCATCTTAGCCATCTCTGCAACTTCTTTCACTCTTTTCCTCGCTTGTTTTCCCGCCTCTCCTTCCATTAACTCTATCACCATCTTCATCAACACTTGCCATTTGACGAACCCTGGTTTCATCCCATTTCTTCCGGATTCAACTCGTAACCCTACCTTAATGTCCTCCACCACCATTCTCGCATTCAATGGCTGCTCAGCTAGCATTGGCCATGCAAGGATTGGTACACCGTAGCACATGCTTTCCAATGCTGAATTCCACCCACAGTGACTCAAAAATCCTTGGATGCTTTGGTGTTTCAGTATTTGCCTTTGATCCACCCATTGTTTCACCACCATGCCTCTCCCTTTAACCCTTTCCTCTAAACCTTCAGTATCCATTGATTCGGATTCTTTCTTTCTTATCACCCACAAAAAGTTTGCCTTTGATTCCTGCAATCCGGTCGCGATTTGTTGGAGTTGTTCGGGGGAGATTTCGGCTTGAGAACCGAACGCCACGTACAAAACAGAGCACCCTTGAGCTAGCTTCTCGTCTAGCCAATCAATCCAAAAGGGTTTCTTTTGGGGTTCGGGTGATTCCGGTTCAGCTAAGCACAATGGTCCTACGCACCAAGTCTTTTGGCTTCCCTTGCTGTTCGTATGATCAATATAAACTTTTTCCAACTCATAAAAGCTATTAACAATATGCCCATAACTGTTTGATATTGATTTAATTTGATCCATGAATACCTCCTTTGAAAGATCATTCTCAAGAAATGTCGAATCGAAGTCGTTTCTTGTAACCTCAATCCATGGAAACTGAGTTACAGTGAATAACTCATCATCTGACTCGACCCTATCAAAAAGCCTGTCTTCAACTACAGCTCTGGTCACACTTGAAGAAAACTGGTTCATGCCCATAAACACCAACCTTGGGAACCCAAACTTCGAAGCAGACTCGAGGGTCCACCATAGGAACCCATCCGACACCATGAAGCTCACTGGTTGAACCTGAACCAGAACCTCCAGCTTCCTCTCGAATTCCGCTTGCATCAGCTTTGTGGCTTTGCAAAATGGATAAAAAAGAGTCATCGAAGATAATGCGTCGGTGCTTTCAACACCGGGTAGGATTTCAGGGACAGTTTGTGGGAAAGAAATTTCGATGATGGAGACGGATGTGTCAGCAAGAGAGTTCGCAATAAAGTGTCGGTTGCCGGTGGGGGTAAACAGTGTCACCGCCATACCTCGGCGGATCAGGAGGCGGGCTAGGTGAAGAATCGGTAGGGTGTGGCCTTTGGACATAAAGGGAAAAAGAACTACATGATGGGATGAAAATTTACAGGAATCTATATCCATATTGCTTTCCTCTGATTGTATATGTGATTATGGCATTAATGCAGCACCCTAGCAAGCTTTATATAGGATTGTTTGTGAAACTGACATTAATTGGTAGTGCTCTAATTAAGAATAATTTACAATATGTTTTAAGTTAAAATGTTATTTTATATAACTTAGAATATTAGTAATTGTTAATAAAGTTTCGTCCGTTGCAGGCTTGCAGCAGAATTTTGTTTTTAAACAATTGGAGAGAAAAAAAGAATTTTTTTACTTTTAAAGAGTATTAAATCTATAACTTAAGGAGAAATTTCAACTGAAAGTTTTTAACTATATATTTTAGAGATTATTAATTGTATTATAGTAGATTTTAATCTAAATGATAATTTTTTTAGTTATAAACTATCTTTATTTATTTATTTTTATTTTTATTTTTATATTAATCAATTGTATTTTAGACCTATAATATTAATTGATTTTATTAAACTTTGACCGAATGCGGCAAAACATTTAACTTGCATATGAGTATCTCCCAAAATTATTTGGATATATAAATATTTTTAAAAATTAATATATTGATATTAAATTAGGATGTATATTCAAAAGTTATATCGACGATCGGATTCAATAAATACCTTTTTAAATTTAAAAATGGAGCCAAAAAAGAGAAATCTGCACCAAATTTTAAGGTTTTTAGAACCAAAAAAAAACTTTTATGTAACACTCCAGCACATTTATTTCCAAAATTTAAGTTTTCTATAATAGAAAAAAATACTTTTATGAAACCCTAACTGCAGCATGTGGTTTGTTAATGCATTAAAAAGTTTATTTCTCACAGGTTAGATCAATTAGTATAGGGTCGTTCTAATTTGATAAAGATTCTAGAATAAGGAGCTTACAATAGCCTGTAGTCCTTTGTGTGTCTTCTCATTCAGGCTTCAGCTATTAAATATGTGGTTCATTTACGGTTTACCACCACCCAAGTCTCTTTCAGTGGGTGATTTATTCACACTACCATATGTTTTCGTGGGCAACTTGTCTTTTCATTTTTTAATTAAACAGACTTGATGTCTTAAATTATTGTCAAATTAATGAGTTTAGGCTTGAGTACTGTAATGGGTCTTTATGATGGTTGAGAATTAATACAGTAGTTTACGTTTGAGTACTGTATTAGGTATTTATGTTGGTTGGGAATTAATACAGTATTTATGTTTAGGTGAATTTTGAAAGTTTTATTATTAAAATTAGTTGATTGTATAAAAATGAATGATATTTAAAGTTTTTAAAATACATAAATTATAAGTTATTAGAGATAAAAATTAAAAAAATAGTAAGAGTAAAAAATGATTAAAATACATAAAAAAATAAATAATTAGATATAAAAATAAAAGAGAACTGATTTAATAAAACTCTTAAACTGTCAAAACTTGAATTACTTATGAAAATCCTATATCGATAGTGACATAGGTAAAAGGAGATTGGAGTAATGGACATGTCCACTACCATAAAATGGAAAATATCAAAAATAAAGTTATAAAAATGAATAAATGTGTCGTAACCGTCTTTCGGGTGAGTTCAGAATTGGCATTCGACTTGAATGAAATGGTTAAAGTCACCACCGATCATTTTAAAAATAATATTTAGGCTGATCGTACACCATCTTACCTGATCTACGTCTTACCAAAGGTATGTCGGATTCGAGAGTCGGTTACAGTCAAGGAAGAATTAACACCCTTGAATTGTCCTTTCGGTACTAATTAATTTCCAGATTACTTACCTTTAATGGACTTAAAAGTGAATAAAAATGGACTATTGAATTAAGGGTAAAAATATTAACTACGAAATTAAATATAAACCAAGTCAAAAAAAAAGAAAGAAAGAGAAAGAGAAAAAAAGTAAATAAAAAAATAAAGATAACATAAATATAATAAAACAAACATATACCACAAAAAAATTAACTAAAAAATGAAAAATTACATAAAACTAAATTAAAAGGAAAGAAATAAATGCCATAAATAAAAAGAAACCGAAAAAGTTCCTAACAATAAAAAGGACAAGAAAAGAAGAAAGAAGAAATAAAAATAAAGAAAAAAATAAAATTAAAAATAATTAAAATAATTAAAATAATTAAAAATAAATAATTAAAAATAAAGAAAAATTAAAAGGAGAAGAAAGAAATAAAAAAGATGAAAAATAGGATAAAAAGAATAATTAAAAGAAGTAAAATAAAAAACCAGTAAAAATTAAATAAAACAATTCAAATAAAATGAAATAAAATTAAAAACAATTTAAGAAGAAAAATAAATAAAATAAAAAATTAATTAATTAAATTACAAATTAATTAAAAGGGCTAAATTGAAAGAAAAATAAAGTGGGTGGCCGAAATTAAAAGTAATTCGGGGTAAAAATCGATTTTCAAGGGCAATATAAGCGTTTAGAAAGTACGGGGGACTAAAGCTGTGATTTACCCTTTTTTACTCAAAAACACACGGGTCTAAGTCATGGATCGGGTTAACACGCGGGTTTGGGTATAAAACCCAAAAATACTTCTCATTTTCCCCATTTGCTTCAAAAGAGATCAAATCGAGCCCCACCATTTCCTTTGAAATGTTATTGGGTGTTCTTCATCGAAGAACACCACCGTGAAACCCAAAAATTGGTCGGCCATCGCCTCGCCGGCCGCCGTTCATCTTTATAATGTGCCTTTGGAGCTTTACTCGTGAGCTGGGTTAAGCTACATAGCGAGTGCCTTAGGAGTTTATCTCTCTATGGATTCAATTACAACATCTAAATCGAGAATAGAATATGCCAAGATTTGCATTGAAATAAGGGTGAATGATCAGATTCCAAAATATGTGGATGTTGTATTAAAGGATGAGTTAGCTACTTCGATTAGTGTTAAGGTCCCCTGGCTACCTTCTTGTTATAGAAGGAGTAATGTATTTGGGCATATCGAGAAGGGATGTGTGGAGTTTCAAAATCCTGCTCCGGTTGTGACATAGATTTGGAAAAAAATGGAGATAATTTGGACAAAAGTGCAGAGGCTACTGTAGTTGGAGGTATAGAGGCTCTGTAATAAGCGGTTATACATGTTCCTATTGGTAAAGAGGAGCAAAGTAAACCTGTAGTTGCTGAAGAAACAAGTTGTTTAGGTGCTGCTATAGTGCCTAGAGGTTATGACGTTGAGTGTGAGCATAAAAGTACTGAAACTTTGGTTTCTATTGAAGATGGTAAAGAAGTTACTCATTCATCTCTTCCTAAATAGGGTAGGGGTAGGCCAACAAAGGATAATTCAAAAGTTGCTATAGTAATATCTAAGAATAGATTTGATATTCTAAATTCTATTGAAGATAATCCTACTACTATTGAAGGTCAATCAAGGAAAGTTCGAGTTGCTTCATCTGGAGTAGTTGGTTTAGTTAATGAACTTAAAACGAAAAAGAAGAATTATATTGACAAAGTTAAATGTGTTGTTGTAGGAGGTAATGGAGGCGTTCTAGGCTCTCATTCTCAATAAAAGTTAGATTCTGGAACGTTAGAGGATTAAATAGTCCTCTTAAGCAAGATAAAGTGTTACAAAGGGCTATCTAGAATAATGTTGATGTTTTTGCTTGTTGGAAACTCGTGTTAAAGTTGAAAAGTCTGCGAGTATCCTTGAGAGGAAGTTTTTTAATTGGAATGTTTGTTCAAATTAGGATTATTCTTTGAATGGAATGATTTGGATTATCTAGAGGAAAGGTCTAGATTTTTCTATTTGTCAAGTTTCAGATCAGTGCATTTTGATTAAAGGTTTTTACCTTGATGTTCCTCTAATTATTTATGCAGTATATGACAACAATGATGGAATTATGCGAAGACTGCTTTGGCAGCAGCTGTGTGATTTGGAATGTACAGTTAGTCAGTTCCTATGGATTTTTGGGATGGGATTTTAATATTGTTTTACATTCCAATGAAAGTTCAGATTGTGAGCTGCTGGGACCCTTTATTACTCCAGATATAAAGGATTTTCAGGATGTAAATCATGATTTAGTGTAACACCCCCAACCCGTATCCTACTTGGATCCTAGTTCAAGGTGTCACGTTGACTTTTCAAAACTTATACTTGTATACAAATATGAACAATTTCCACTTATATTAAATAAAATTTCATAATTCATATTATTACAAATAAAATATCTTTAAAACTGATCAGAGCGTATATAAATCAAAACATTAATTACATGACAACTACTTTCAATAAACAAAATACATATGATTCAAAACTCTTGTCTGATCTAATCATAGTAAAGGAGAGGCTGACCTATCTTGATCCTCTATGCTCCTTAACCTTCTCGAAACCTACGTGTGAATGTTCACACACTAAGTAAATGACTTAGTGAGACATTAAACTTATAAAGGAAACTCTAACTACTAAACCACACATTAACATATCATACAATGCTATCACAAAAAATAATATAACATTACATATAATCAAATGTACACATATACAGATCTTGTCATTATCATCAATAACCTCATTTCATTATCAATATTATATTTCATTCATACCTTTTAGTTATCTATTCTTACACTTAACCTTCTTAACTATCATATATCACACATATCACTTTACCGAAAACAAGCATATAATCATATCAAATTTATTTATATTGTGTCTCTTTATTAGCCCATGTACACATGTGATAACTAAAGATATGTGAGTACATAGAGGTTATGCATATATGTTGTCACCACAGCTCGTATAAATCCCCACCAGGGGTGTCGGAACCTTATTTCGGTTGGGCCCGAGAATTGGGCTTCGACTTAGGAAAGTGGATTGGAGTCGCCACCGATTATTTATTTTAAAACAAATAGGTTAATCGAATACCCTTTTCTTTCCTGATCTGCATAGTGCCAAAGATATGTCGGATTCGGGAGTCGGTTACAGTCAAGGAAGGGTTAACACCCTTGAATTGCCCATTCGGTACTACGTAATTTCCAGTTGTCTTAAATCAAGAAAATTGTAAGCTTAAATTAAAAGGTAAGAATATGATCCGAATTACCTACCTCT